AAAAAAAAAAAAAAAAAAAAGCAGCCGGACCTTGTGATCCCAGCTACATGGGGGGCAAGAGAACACTACAGGAGGAAGAAAAAAAAGATGAACGCATCAATATAGCCAAAGGATTTTAGAAATGGAACCATAAAACCTTAGAGGTAAGCCAGGTGCAGTTGCTCACATCTGTAATCTTAACACTTTGGAAAGCCAAGGTATGGCTTCCACCAAGGATGGATTGAGCCCAGGAGTTCAAGATCTGCCTGTGCAACATAGCAATGCACCATCTCTACAAAAATACAAAGAAAATTAGTGGGGTGGGGTGGTGCACACCTGTAGTCCCAGCTATTCAGGAGGCTAAGGCAGGAGGTTCACTTGAACCCAGGAGTTTGAAGTTGCTGTGGGCTATGATGACACTACTGCACTCTAGCCCTGCCTACAGAGTGCAATTTTTGTCTCAACAAAGCAACAAACAAAACAAAACACAAATCTTAGGGGAATGTCAGAAATAAACGTAACGGTATAATCAGTAGATGTCATTTGGGACCGAAACATTTTGTCATCATTCATTCCCAAACTGGGTGGCTAGCCAGGCACATTTGAAATTATACTGTTTACTAAGAGTTTTTTGTGTCAAAAGTCATACTAAGCATATTTACATGGATTTTTAATTTCATCCCCACAATAAGTGAAATTATATTCTTAACTCCACTTTGCAAATAAAAAAATTAAGGCCTACCAAGCTTAAGTTACTCTCAATCCAATTGAGAAATGGAGCCAAGATTTCAATCTCACACCAAATGCTCTGCCACTATTATGCTCTATTGCCAAAGATAACCAAAGACTCTTTCACCATAAACTCACTACAGGTTTTGAGGTTCAAAGATATTCTGAAGATAGGCAAAACTGCCCAACTACACCTAAATGTTCCTCAAAATAGCACTAATCCCAGAAGCAAAAAATCCTGACTTAATAACCCAGTATTAAATCTTGAATTTAAAGCGGTAAGCAAAATGGGAAGATCACAGTTTACCAACCCCAAAATAAGCACTCAGCGATACAAAGAAAACAATCAGGGATTTAAGATGAAACTCAACCACAATTACACAACATGCTTCTTTCTGTCATCACACCGTGACATCCTGGGTCACACACTTTATAGCACTATGTCTTCTGGTCTCACCTGCCATTTTTTAACCATAGAACACATTTTGTCACGGGTAAGATCCATGCCATGGAAGTTAGTCAGGCAGTTTTTGCCCTGAACATCTTCAGTAATCAGCTTGAATTTTCTAAATGCAACTTCATCATTCTGCAGATCAGCAAGACTCACTTCAAACACACGACCTTTGAGGCCATCAGATGCAATTT